TGTTCTTGTTGTTGTTCTTGTTGTTGTTCTTGTTGTTGTTCTTGTTGCTGTTCTTGTTGTTCATGGTCGACAATGGCCAAAAATACAGCAAAAAATGCTTTAATTTCAAAATACTCAGTCAATTGTGACGATACTTCTGAATCAAGTCTAATTTGATGTATTAGGGATGTTCTGCACACTGGTTGCCTATCTTATGGAGGGGAAGATGGTGTTTTTCTTGTTACACTACAGCTCTCTTCATTGCCATTTTTTGTCAATATTCACTGCTGCAATTATTGTTGTTGCTCCTCAACCACTTGGTTGATTGATCCGATACTTCTGGATCCTTGAGCCCTTGATGTAAGGATTACAACACTTGTCTTGTGAGCATGATTGGCTGGGTATTGATAAAGAACTAAGGAGGTGACAGCTTTACTTTGTGGAGGTTGTGTTAATGAGGTTTTTGGAGAATTCCGTGCGCTGAGAAATCAACAAGAAGCCCAAAAAGGTTTTCTGACAGGAAACATATTTAATATGCACATGTATCAAAAGATGAGGGAGAACGCTTTCCGACTGACAGATTCTCTAATTCTGGTTCGTGCCTTTGCTTGAGTTACCAAGCAAGCAAAGTTAGCAAATAACTGGCGCGTTTTATGTACTCATAACCTGTTAGAAATCAATAGTCTCGTAACGCACTCATACTCGTACTTGGCTGCTAACTAGTGTGAGTTTTTGCACATGCTCTTTCTTGTTTTCACTGAGCACTTTGATATTTCAGTTTGTACCTGTCATGCAATTAAATTGGTATTGTGAAAAACATCTGCAGACACAGAGTGGTGATGACCAAAGAATGACAGAAGATGTCAATTGCATTGCTTTTTGTTATGCCTTCAACTGGTTTTTTTATTAAAGAGAGAGTCTCCTCTTTGAAAGTCACCTCTGTATACATACCATTCTGGATGTTGTGGAAAAGTTTCTTGACTGTTGGTGGCATCTAGTAGCAGAAAGTAGGAGAAATAAGACAGAATGAATGGTTTGTTGATGAAGTTGGAAATTGAACTATGTATGGGAACAACAGTAATAGAAACAAGAAGATGCTTGTACTCCCTTTACACTTGCTTGCAGCAACAAGCAGCTGCTGATACTACTACTAGTAGTACCACTAGTATTCATATTAGTACTACTACTATCATTGCTTTCTAATAAACTCAACAATAGCTGGGCATGAAGGCTGCCTGAAGTGGTATCAAACAGATGATGGAGAGACCAAGCCAGGGTTGGCAGCAATCCATGAATTCCTATCTTATTCTTTGATTGCATCCTTCAGCTTAGTCCAGGTCAAAGGCTTCTGCTTGCTGTTTTCTCCAGCAATTGCTGGTATTCCTAAGCAATGCATTCAAGTTTCATTTGTTGTAAGTTTTACTTCATCAGAAGATCTCCAATGGAATTTCACCCCTTTCTTATCAACACTGTCCCAGATTCCCAATTCATGGCACTGGACAAGGGTCTGCCAACAGTCCAGTCATTTGGGCTCTCCTGTCAAGTAGACTGTTTGAGGCTCATAACACTGAATCCCATGGCATGACTTTCTCCAGTCCAGATGGCACTCTCTCCTTCTCCATGTCAATCATTGGTTTTGTTGATGACTCAACTGTCATCACCGCCTCACCCCCAGACGCTTCCCTTGCTGATCTCTTGGAAAGACTCCAATCTGATGCACAACTTTGGAACGATCTTCTTTGGTGTTCCGGGGGGAAGTTAGAACTTCCAAAATGTGGATTTCACCTTTTTTACTATGATTTCCAATACCTCTCTGAATCTCCACTGGATATGCTTCCTCGTGTGCTTCACACTACCGGTGATATCTTTCTGACTGATCCTATTGGAGAACCAGTCCAAATTGCTTCAAAGAACATATTCACTCCACGCAAAAACCTTGGCCACCACAAGTCCCCACGCGGATCATATACAGCTCAGTTGAATGCATTACTATCCAAAGCAGATTCAATATGCTCTGCCATTCACCAGTGCTCCCCCAACAGACCTACAGCACGAATGCTTTATGAAACAGTCTTGCGTCCTGCTATTGAGTATCCCCTGCCCCAGTCCTTTTTGTCTTCCACCCAACTGCTCAGGTTAGAAAGGAAGTACTTTCCACACATTCTCTCACTCTGTGGTTATGCCCGCACTACCGCCAGCGCACTCCTCTACGCACCAGTCTCTGCAGGAGGAGCAGGGTTCATACCACTGGAGGTCATCACTGGCAGAACCTATGTCACCCATTTCTTGAAACATTGGAGATCCACTGATCTTGCTGGGAAACTTCTTTGGACTATACTATGGTGGTTTCAATTGTTCTCAGGCCTGAGCTTCCCTCCATTGCAATACGATACATCCCTGGCAAATTTTTGCATCATGTTTGGCAATATCTG